AACATCTTATGCCCTTGACGGGCGAAAATCTAGTGATATTTTTGCTCAATTTTGAGGATGTGAGAAAGGCGACCGATCTGTTAAATGATCTCTTGGATATGACAGGAAAGCAATGGGTTGGGCTTAATCCTCTCTGTACCGAGCTGCGAATGCGCAAATTGTTCAAGCTGCAAATTATGAACGATCTCGACGCTTCGCTCAAAATTCTTCGATGCACGAACAGAGCAGAGTACTTGAACAGAACAATCGCGCTGTTAAATTTATGGTCAATGAAAACGACCACAATTCGAGACAATCTCATTCAGTGGAATAAATTAGCTGCTGATCGAGCATATTCCTCGATATTGTTCCAGAACAAATATAGAAAACGGGAAGTGACGAAGCGACATTATCAAATGAACTATCAGCTCCGATTAGGCATCATCAATGCCGCGTTGAATCAAAAACACCGATATATCGCCGAGAAATATTTGAATTATGTAAGTGAAGCATTTTCTGAGGAGGACGTTAGTTATTTGGATATGATTAACTTAAGATGGCTTAAAACTAGACTTAAGTCTCTATTCGCCGACGTTGAGACCGATATTTTAAAAAAAATGTCTAATTACATTGATTCCTGGAAAAACTCGCATAGATTATTGAATAGTGAGCTCGGTATTGACACGAGTAATGCCATCGAAGAACATATCAGCATAATAGCTTCAAAGATCGAATTCTTGAGTAGGGAGAACCAGGAGTTTGCAATAACATTGAAGTACAATACCAAGATCCTGTGGGACATAGGTAACGTAGGACACAGAGAAGAAATAGCAGCAGTACCAGGAATATCAGTGGATGACCTGGATAAAATCCGAAAATATTTGCTGGGTTACAGTTTGAAGAAATTGCAATCTTGCTGCAAGGACACGACCACCGCCAACGTTGGCAAGTACTATTGCGCCCTGGCTAAACACTGTTACGGTAGACTAATGACCACTGACGTAGAAAGCGACGAGATCTTCCAAGAATTTCTGTTGTCCACTTTGAAATCCATGTATCACGATTGCCTCGAAGCTACGCATTACTTCCCCTGCTTGCTGAGACCTGAACGATTACAAAATGACGAGACGCGAGAAACGTTCATTCGAGAATGCGACGAATTGCGACCATGGCTGTTTTTGCGCTGGCGAGACTTACTCTTTTCCCATCTGGGAACACCATCGATCTCAATCGCGATTATGCCGATCATCAAAAGGCTCGCCAAGGCTTATCCCGATGCGATTATCTATAATTATTATCTTACTGCCGAGAAAAACCCCAGTATTCTTGAGGATGTAAACATTCAGCAGATACGCTCGCTCTTACACGACAAAGCGAAAGAATACGAGCGATTCTTGCAAGCTATACAATATGTGGTGCAACCTCAACTATATTTGAAACACTACCTCGACAAGGTGATGAATTCAGGAAATACGACCATCGAATCGCTATTACAAAGAGTCTATCCGAATTCCAGCACAGGCGCGATAGAAAGAAAAAATCCGCGACCAGGTGCTATTTTTAAAGAAATTGCAGAATATGAGAGCGTCATAAGATCCTTGAATCCAGATGATCTTGACGTGCGAAAAGGAATGACAAAACTTAAAGCCATTCAATTAAAATTGATCGAGTCAATTCAAAGGCAGAATAATAGAAACAATAGGAAAAGAAGCACAAACGAACTGAAGAATTATAGCCCGTTTTTGTATGAATATGTCAGTGGCAGTATTGAGATACCTGGACAATACACCGGTGACAGGGAACCTATACCGCGTTATCATGTAAGGATTGCGCGGTTCGAGCCGCAAGTGGAGATCATGCAATCGCTGCGCAAGCCGATTCGCATCAGCATAATAGGCGACAATGGCAAGGAGTACAAGTTTCTAGTGAAATTTGGCGAAGATCTAACGATAGATCGGGGCCTACAACAACTATATTCCACTATGAATAGAACGTTGCGCAACGATCCCAGCTGCAGACAGAGGCGCTTAGCCATCGACACATATGAGGTGATACATAATTATCTTCCAACTTAGATACTGTCTATATATATTTTTGCTGTTGTAATATAAATTTTCTTTTTGCAGGTGATTCCAATATCGAGTTTGTTCGGTCTCATACAATGGATTGAAGACACAAGATCTCTGGATGAATTGATATGCTTAACTCTGTCAGATAAGGAGATAGATTGTTGCCAGAATATTATTAAAAAATATGCGAAGTGGATACAGAAAGCGGCGCCCGAAAAACGGCTGATCCGCGATTTTTATATAGAAGCTGTATCTAAGTATAACCAGCAAGCGGTCACGGAGAACATGAACCGCCTGATTAGAGAGACGAAGCAAACAGCTCTACGTGATGCGTTTAATTCAATCAGCCCGTCCTCGGAGTGCTTCGTTACGCTGCGACGCAACTTCATTACTAGTTACGCGACCATGTGTGTGGCGCATTGGCTCGCAGGAATCGGTGATCGCCACCTACAGAACACCCTGGTGCGCGTCGCAACCGGACGTTGCTTAGGCATCGATTTCGGTCATGCTTTCGATAGTGGTATAGGCGCATCGGTACCGGAACTCGTACCGTTCCGTCTGACACCGCAAATCCTCGAACTGCTGCGACCCTTCACAGAGCGGGACCTCCTAGCGATGATCATGACTCATACAATGCAAGCCTTGCGCGATGACCAGGGTCCGATCCTCGCTTGCATGGACATCTTCGTTTATAAACCCGTTCAGTGGTTGAACATCAATGATGACGAGATAATGAGAAATGGCGATGAAAATATTAACGCAGGTATAAAAGAATATACAAATTGTGATGTGAGGATGTTATGTAAATTTTATAAAATAGTTAATTTGATAAATAAGATCGACTTTTGATGGCAAGAGTAAAATAACTGTCATAAAAATTATAGAAACTATTCGGAAAAAATATATTTAAAAAAAAAATCATAAATATAGATATTTATAGGATATATTGTAATAGTGTACATACGCACGCACGCACGCACACATACAGAATCAAAAGTTGTAGAACTAAATAGCTATTCTATGTGTAATAAGTGAAAAATGATAAGAATTAGATACACTATATAATAAATTGTAAAAGAAATCCATTTTTATTTCATCAAACATATGTAAGAGGAATAACACATGATTCGCAGATTTAACATGGTCCAAGAAAAATATTGAGACAATTGCGAAAAAATTAAATGGAATCCATCCTTCAATCATTACATTAGAGCAATTGAATGACACTCGAAAAAGAAGAGCAATTGACGATAGACACTTTGCGAAATATTATGCCATTATCTCGGGCAATGATGAGATCAAACAAACGCGAGCAGATATAAAGAGGGACCATTTGACTTCTGTAGAACAGGTAATTTTATTACTAAAAATTCATTACTGAATTTATTTTTATGGCTCACCATTAATGTTTTAGGTGAATTGTTTATTGGATCAAGCAAAAGACTTGAATATTTTAGGCCGTATGTATCAAAATTGGAGATCTTGGCTGTAAGACGTAATATTTATAAAATATATGACTATTATGTTTGAAGTATCATTATTTAAAAGTATAAAAATTGTTTTAATCAAATCTAAAAAGCTTAAACAAAATTTATTTATGCAAAGAAAAAATTATTATAACATTAATTGGAGAAAAATTAAATTCGTATATAATTATATAATAAAGATATATACACACACATATATATATATACGTTTATATATATATATACATATGTGTGTGTGTATGTATGTACATACATATGAAAGATATAGTTTACAATTCTGTTTATTAACATAAATAAAATATTTTCTGCGTTATAAATATAGTTTATATATGTCTAATGTATTAATAGAGCAAACAGCTATTATTATATATATTCGTGACTGTACAAGATATATTTGATTATAAGTTAGAATTTCGTGAAAAATTGTTACGGTGGTGTATTAAAATATTAGACACATTTATATTTTTTAAATTCTGTATACATTTCTAGTTTTCCTAATTCATTGTGTATACAATATTGAAAGATTTTCTATATCTTTCTAATAAGACAAAATTTATTTTATCTAGATTTTATAAATGTTAAATATAATTAATAGATTGTTAAGAACTATAATTTTTTTTATAAGGTATATCATGTATATCAAGAAAAAAAATAAAAATAAACCTCTAATATTTAGAGGAGAAATAGTGAATAATAATTTTGAATTTTATTACTTGCAAATTATCAAAAATCCTCCAAGAAAACCCGACATAAAACATTTTGTTTTAAAACAAAAAAAAATAAAAATATGTGAAATAAACTGCCAGTTTGCTATTTTGGAAATTCCAAGCAATCTGTTTGGATTAAATCGTTTTTAATACAAAAAATAGAAAAAAATTTATAGATTCGTGTGGTCATCTCAATGCTGTATGTATATCCAATGATATATGCAATAATCTTTTGTGAAATTCCACAATTTTCGCAGAAAAGAAATTGCTTAAAGGAATTGCTAGCATTAAATCCCAACAATATGTTATCCATATATGTGGAACGATAATATACCGCGAGTTTACTATTTTAAACAGGGATGCATCAGATCATAAAATTATCGGATATCAGATATCTATCACATTTTGTTCGGATATCCGATATTCAGTCGGACATCTGATAGAACAATTATCCGATCAAATACCAGATATTTCCATGGATATTTGGTTGGATATCTAATATATAATTTCAAAAAAAAAAAAACAGAATGAAAAGTATCGATTAATACTAGATACCGGATATTTTCCAGGTATATTCTTAATTTAAAAAATATATATAATATTTGTACAATCACGATGAGATTTGAATTAATACTGCTCAGTCAAAGTTAACTATTTCTAATCTATTCGTAAGAGAAAATGCAAGTGATAGCGAACCGAAATTACTTTAAGCTAAGAAAGCTTATATAACATTATATCAATAATAAAATATTATTTTGATATAAAATAGCATTTTACTTTATATCTAATGTCTATGATCTATGCTTTACAATATCATCATTCTTTCTTTCAACATAAAAACACAGATTTGTACAGCAGATAATAACAGCGAATGATTTTACAAACTATTTTTATGTATCGCTCTTCCATAGTTTGATAGTTTTATCATTCTCAAGAGCAGCCGAAGCTATAATGTTGTCTGTCGGATGACATGTTGTGCAAAGTACCACATCTGAAAACGACACGTGCACACAATTAATAAGTAAACTATTAAAAAATTCGAGAAAATTATTAGAAAAATATAATCTCAAAGAAAAAACATTTATAGATAATGAATTTTTTTTATCACACTAGATAATTTTTCTTTTTTCAAATGTATATGCATATTTTCATATAAAGACTTAAAGGTTTAATTTATTCAGAATAACGTCCATTCTGAGTTAATTGATTAATATCATTTCTTAAATGAACATACGCTTACCTGTGTGTCCTTGTAGCTTTTGTACGATCTCTTTTGTCTGTAAATTCCAAATGTACACCATGTGATCTTCAGAGCCGGATACAATCCACTGTGGATAAAAAAAAAAACTTAAAATAATCCTTAGAGTTCATTATTTTTACATAATCTTAATTGTAAGGCATTTGAGATTGATTAAGTAATCGTTGCAATATGCACCTTTCCACCTGTTACAGAGAAGTTCGCGAAGATGCAATATTTCTCATTTTTGTGACCACTATACGTTTTCAGGCATTTCCCTTTACTGTAATCCCACAGCTTTAATGTGTTGTCCAATGTTGCTGCCAAGATGTACTTGCCGTTCGGCGAAAATTTGACAAATGATACTGGAGGATTGTCGTCGTCTATCAGAGTTTTTAGACATTGTCCTGATGCGGTGTCCCAAATTCGACTGCAAATCACGTGTGTTATACAATAAATAAATTTCAAAGAAAAGACATGCGGATCTATTCTTCTCACAGATCATTACAATTACTGGAAATTTGATGTTGCAGAACTTACCATAATCCATCGTAACTACTCGAGACTATTAAAGAGCCATCCCTATTGAAATGCACTGCACTTACAGGATCTGAATGTGCCGGTAAGGTTTTAAGGCATTTTCCGCTTCTCACATCCCAAATACGCACACTTTCGTCAAACTAAAAAAAGATAAATCTTTTAGACCTTGTGTTTTTATTCTTTTTATAATTGCACATATGTAACATAACATAATTAACATAATGTTACCAGTCACATTTTAATTTAATAATAGACCAAACATTTTGCATAACTTATTAGCTTTAATAAAAAAATTCATTATTAGATCTTTAATTTTGTGTAAAAAAATTAAAATGATAAAGGAAAGATATTTTATCATATAGATATATTATAGGTATAAATCATTACGAAAAAATTATATAACTTGATTCTCATAGAAATTTATATTTTGATTTCTAAATTGATATTTTAAATTTGAAAACACTTAAATTTAAGAGAATTATTTTTATATATAATTAATAGAGAATAAATATATGTAATTAATTTATATTACTTACAGAACCAGAGACTATAAGGTTGGATTGTGGATTGAAATTACAACAAAAAACATAATTACTATGACCTTTTAACGTTTTTAAACATTTACCCTGAAAAAATAAGAGATTCCAAGATTAATATATCAAAAAATATGCAATATTAAAAAAAAAACTTTAATTTATCTCAGTACACTTCTTTTTAATTACAAAGAATATCCTGTATAATGGAATACTTACAGAACTTAATTCCCATATTTTTAACGTCTTGTCATCAGAAGCTGATACCAGCAATCTACTATCACTAGACCATGCTACATCAGAAATACCCAGCTTATGACCTGCTATAGTCTTCTCGAACTTTCCATCATAAGAACCCCAAATTTTGATAAGTTTGTCAGCAGCTGAAAATTAGAAATATATATCAAAAAATCATTAGTCTATCATTAGTTATTTTAAATCTCGTAACCAATGTCTATATTCTGTATTCAGATAGCCAAGTTCCTTAACATAAGAAATAGTTGTGTGACACAAGTTTTCCTTCAATTGTCATGTTGTTGTCCATGACAATAATAATTTTAAGAAACTTAAAGGAAATTATGCGGACAACAGTTTCCTATACAAAAGAGCAAAAATGTTGTAATATATTCATATTATTATAAAAGGCCACAATCTATTTGTAAAAAGAAATTGTTGCCTGAATGATGCCATCAAGTTGCTTGTAATCGTTAATGGTAATCTGACAAAATTAGTGCTTTTCTCAATATTATGGATAATTTAAGCAACTTGATGTGACTATTCGAGTAACCTTTAATAATAATGTTAGTGTCATTATATTGGGTTGTCTGGAAAGTTCATGCAGACTAAAATTTAAATTTTAGTATACATTTATTAAATTAAAATTTTCTGCGTTTCAATTTTCCTT